CCAAACTCACTGCTGTGGAATTGTCTCCGACTCATAGCAACCCCTCCTTGGGTTTCCGAGGCAGTATCTCTACGGAAGTAGATTGCCCAACCTTCCTTCCGAGGAGTGGCTGGTGGGTTTGAACCTCCAGCCTTCTGGTTAGCATCAAGTGCCTTAGGCACTATGCTACCAGAGCTCCTAGTAATTGTCATAGACCTCCCATTTAGAGTAAATTGAATGAAAGGGTCAACATCCAAAATCAAATAGTTGAAAATCTCGGGCTGGTTTCAGAGCATCCCATTGAAGAGAAGGTCATCCAACTCACAGGTAGCCTCTATTCTGATGCTTCTGAGTATACAGAGTCCAGTGATTAGATTTTGTGAGTCTATTTGAAATCTTGGTCATTACAGTTTATAAGTGCGTCTGAAAACGTGGCTTAGAAAGAAAATCTGGACATCTGTCTCAGGTGTTGAGATAGCCCGTAGACTATAGGCTCCTTGCTTTGAATATTGTTGTTGTTAGCTGTCATCTAGTTGGCTCTCATCTCATGTGACTCCATGCACAATCGAATGAAAAAACTCCTGGTCTTGCACCATTCTCACCCCATTATCAGTTGGGGATCTGCGTGTTGTGATCCCTAGGGTTTTCATTGGCTGATTTTCAGAAGTCAGTTGCCAGGCCTTTCCTCCTAGTACTTCTAATCTATAAGATCTTATGAAACCTGTACAGCATAGTAACACACAGCCTTCACTGACCAGGTGGGTGGTGCCCGCATACGAGGCACATTGGCTGAGAATCGAACCCAGGTCTCCTGCGTGGAAGCTTGAGAATCCTACCACAGAATTACTAATGCCTGCTCTGAATACTAACCAGTTCCCATCGAGGAGATTTCAACTCATGGTCACCCCGTATGTTGCAGAGTAGAACTGCACTCCATAGAGTTTTCAAGGCTATGTCTTTCAGAAGCAGATTGCCAGACCTTTCTTCTGAGGTGCCTCTGAGGAGATTCGAACTGCCAACTCTTTGATTAGCAGAGGAGCACTGGCTATATTCCTTTCAGTCTTATATCTCCTTTCCTCATCCTCCACCCCTACTCACCTTCAAGAAGAACACTACAGAATTTTCATCTGTCTTTACAGTCCTGTGAATTCCTTCTCCATATTTTGCTGTATTTCATTCAGTTTGGAATATAGCAGTGTAGAATATGGTTGGTATAACATTAATCCTAGCCAGTATCTGAGATCCTTTAAAGGAAAAAAATATATATATATTTTAGTCTAGGGTTCCTGTATGTGTGTTCTGGGATTGAAAATATAAAAGTAAGAACCTTAAATAAAGTAGAAAAAAAATTCTCTTATTATCCAGGTCCCCTCCATATTTTAAGTTGTTTCTAAAATTTATTTTTTTGTTGTTCCTGTTAAATATTGCTCAGATTTTGGCCTTATCCAACAAAATATGATGTTAGAGGGGTACGTGTGTGTGTGTGTGTGTGTGTGTGTAGATGAGAGGTAGACTTGGTCAGACAGTGTGTGCAGTGGTGAAGAACATACTTTCCAAATTAATTAATCTTCAATTAGCAGATCACTGAGGATATGAATCAGTCACAGGCAGTCAAAAGGTGATGTCAGTAAACGGTTATGGCTCAGCATGACTGCTCCTATTTGCTATTGCATTTAGTCCTAGTGCTAGTGCTATTGCAAGGCCCTCCTGCAAATTTTATTGTCTCTTTAGAAATTTCTACTGCCAAGGATAGTGTTAGTAAGTATTCCAGGAGACCGGTAAAGCAAAGAACAAGATACTTAATGGACTTTATAAATACGGCTTTGGAATGATCTTATTAGTAACAGTTACACTATTAATTTCTAGTTGAAAAATAACATGCTCACAAGATTTCTGAGCTTCCATAGAAGACTCATTTTGGAGCAAATTAGGTCAGAACAGAATGTACAACTTAAGGATTGTTGAAGATGAGCAGGTGCGTAGGGTAAAGTTGCTTAATTATGAAAGGTGAGTATTCAGGGTGGAGACTGTGTGCCCTTGGTCTACAATATTTGGTTAAGCTTTTAAAATGGATTCTTTCTAACCTCTGTATAATCAGTTACAAATTATACTAATGATGGATTGATTACTAAAAATTCTCTAAACTTCTTCCTGGAGAGTATCTTCATTTTGAAGGCCATGTGATACATCAACTCTCCTGTTGTATCTTGGAAACAGCAGCTGCTACTTCATAAAGAACCTGAGAGTTGGTATGGAGTCAACTAGAATCCCTTCTTTCTAGAACACTTTGGACTTCCAATTTTAGATGGGCTATGGGGGAAAGCCAAAATCAGCTATGTTGTTGTTGTGTGCCGTCGAGTCAGCCCTGACTCATAGCGACCCCTCCTTGGGTTTCCGAGGCAGTATCACTACGGAAGTAGGATTGCCCAACCTTCCTTCCAAGGAGTGGCTGGTGGGTTTGAACCACCAGCCTTCTGGTTAGCAGTCAAGTGCCTTAGCCACTATGCTACCAGAGCTCCTAAAATCAGCTATGGACTCCAATTTTTGCTGAACAAAGTGTCCATATTTTTAGGTAGTTGTAATTGATTAGGAAAAAAATATTGAAATGAGCTCTTGGGCTTTGTTCTGAGGTCAAAAGAGACCTGATCTTGGTGTTTGGGGTGAAAATAGTGCTTAATGTTGCACGCATTGTATATGTTTTTGTTTGAGAGTATAATTTGTGAATGGGTCTTGTTAATGAAAACACATTGTGGTGGAGAGGGGAGTGTGTGTGCATGTTTCAATGCAGGTTTTAAACAGCTTATTGGATAGGCTTGATGAGGGTTATTTCCTCTTTTGTCTCCTCTTCTCTCCCTCCCACAGCAAGAATGGAAGATCAACAAGGCACTGCCATACAGGCTTCCAGTAGTCTCTTTGGAAGGGTGTAGGCCAATAAGAACCAACCTATTGGCCTCCACCCCAGCCTCTCTGGTAGCTTCTGAATCCAGCTTCAACGTTGTTAAAATTAGTGCAGAAAGTGATAATTTGGAAAAGTGCCAAAACTTGCTATACTATTTCCTGGCAGCTTTCCCTTGGTATTAGAGGTAACTTTTGTGTGTCACTGAAATGCCATACCACCACTACCACAGTAGCCCGTTGTTGTTGTTGTTGTTGTTGTTGTTATGTGCCAGTCGAGTCAGCCCTGACTCATAGCGACCCCTCCTTGGGTTTCTGAGGCAGTATCACTGCAGAAGTAGATTGCCCCATCTTCCTTCCGAGGAGTGGCTGG